TTATTGAAAAGTGACCGTTAGATGACAATTCGAGCTTTGTCCTAACAACGGTCACCTGGGCTGTGACGTGGCTGTCCCGCCGCTTGCGAGTGGTTTTCAAAAATTATTAAACATCGAGGTTTAATTTAGTTAATTGATAGGATTATGGTGCTTTTTTATTATTTAATATAGAAATTTACTTTATATAGAAAGTAAAATAATAAGATTTGAAGTTTGATTATTTACATTATTATATAAGACTAAATATTTATAACAATGATTGTTTTTGTTCAGAAATAATCCCAAAAAGAGTCCTCTAAATACGTACTTATTCAAATTAAACAAAACTTTTTCCACCTGACATCACTTTTAAGAATGTGTTGGAAAATTATATTTAAACAAAAATAATATTTTGAGATATTATCGAATTCAATAATATTATTTTGAAATGATCATCCAACTCAGTTGGTAGAGCACAAGGTTCTTAACCTTGAGGTCGTGAGATCGAGTCCCATGGAGGGTATTTCATAATTCGGAGGTCTTCTACGGAAGATGCTCTCAATCTAGTGTTGGGGGCAGCCTACTATCTTACCTCTCCCTTACCCTATTACATATGGGAACAAGGGACAACCATTGAATGTTTAAGTCAATGTAAAACCGTTTTTTAATAGGGTAAAGTATACAATAGTTCTTCGATGATAAGACGTTGTTTTGTTGAGTCACATGACTATTAAAAGTTACAAAATAGTTATTCGAATTTTCATATATTCTAATCTCGTCCTTTTTCGTTAAAAAATTGATGATCGTCTGAGTTGTACATTAACCTGCCAACTGAAATATGATAAATCGTCGTTGCTTTCAAGCACCGACTAAACGACATAATGTTTCAAGCACTCGCTAGACAACATAATGTAAATGGAGAGTCGATCCATAAATACAATTCAAACGGTTATGAGATCAGATTTTATCATATCTCAACCAACAAGTTAACGTCTAGCTCAGACGATCGTCAAATTTTTAACAAAAATGATGTGTTGGAACATATAAATAGTCAGATGACTATTTTGTAATTTTTAATAGTCGGGAATTCAACAAAGTAATGTCTTATAGTCGAGAGATCATTTTGTAACATTTAGTAGTCCGAGACTCAATAAAACAATATCCTATAGTTGTGGGATCATTTGTACTGTGTTTGGACACTTTGGTCAAATTTCTTAATGAATAAACTCAATAGTTATTCCATGTTCAAACTTTAATAATATTTCTCGAAATATTTAAATGAATGTACGTACAATAAAAATGAGAAATATCAAACTTAATATGGTTTCATTATAATCATTATTACAAAAAATTATAAAATAGGAATATATCTCACAATGACAACATAATCCTTAAATTTTTATGGTGGTATGCCTTTAGTCAAAGGATCAACTAACATTTGCTCAATGTTAATGTGTTTAATGACCACTTTCGTTTCTTTAACAAGTTTACTTATGGCCAGATACTTAATGCGATGTATTTTTCGACTTTCACTTTTATTGTACTTAGCCATAAAGACATCAGTTGAATTGTCACAATATATCATTATTAACTAATGACCTAGAAATTGAGTCTATGAGTCTAAGCTCGTAAATGAAACTCTTTAACCATACTTCATATGAGATAATCTTAAAACATAAAACAACTCAGCCCTCGAAGCAAAAATAGCAATTAAAGTTTGTTTGATATTCTTCCAAAAGTTACATCTTAAAAAAATGGTTGTCCCTTTTTCCCATATATATGGGGTAAGGGGGAGGTAAGATAGTAGGCTACCCCCAACACCAGGTTGAGAGCAGCTTCCGTAAGAGACCTCTGAATTATGAAATGCCCTCCGTGAGACTCGATCCCACGACCTCAAGGTTAAGAATCTTGTGCTCTACCAACTGAGCTGGATGGTCATTTCGGCAAAAGTTACATCTTAGATTTTTGTTATTATTGCTAATTGTGGTTGTAGATGGTGACCGGATGAGATTGATGATAATGGCTCAGAATTTGATTAGTTTGATCATGGATGATGGTTGTGGATCATGATTATCGTGTTTGAGATTTTGACGGAATGATGGTGATGAACGACTAAACAGTAATGGGAAGATGATGAAGTTTTTGAACATGACATGTGTTAGTGGTAATGACGATCAAAAGAACATCAGATGATGATGGTGTAAAAGAAAGAAAGTTGATGGCTACCAATTTAGAAGAATACTCTAGGGTTTTTTTTAGGGAAGTAGATTTTAACGTCCCACGTAAAATTTTATTGACAACAATAATTGTAATGAAACGAATTAAAAAAATTAGTAATTGTATTATAAATTTTAAAAGTTCGATGATTAAAATGTAAATATACTAAAAATTTACTAACCAATTTTTTGTAGTTTACCCGAAGATATACCATGGGGAAAGTTTGAAGAGGGTGAGAACCAACATAGTATAAATGAGACGGATGAAATGTGTTGAGGAAACTTAATAATCCAACACCAGATAACTCCCCTGAGTTAGCATGTAGAGCTACCATAGTATAAGCGACCTTCTCCTAGGTTCATGTTGAACCTAGATGTGCGGGCATTGGACCAAGCGGATGGAATGATGTCTCTCTAGATTGAATATTTAATCTATCATGTCCTCATCTTATTTTTTCCAACTTACTTTTATCGACTAATTATTAGGAATGTTCAAACAGTTAATTCGATTATTGACTGAATTAAATTATCGATTTTTTCTTTAACTATTAATTGAATTGAACTTTTTTTGAAACTATTAATCGAACCGAACTTTGTTCGATACCAAATTTTTATGATTGTTTTAGTTAGATTAATTTAAACTTGATATATATTTTTTATTTATAAAATTTAATTAATTTTTGATAATTTAATGGGTTTAATGTGGTTAAAAAATAATTAAGTCTTAATTTCTAATGGATTTTAGCTTAAAATATGTATTAAATATATATATATATATATTTTCGATTAATTAATTGATTTCAAATTGAATTAACCGTTAGTCAAATAATGAAAAAAATAATCATTCCCCAAATCGAACTAATTCGATAACCGATCATTTTAACCAAATTAATTTAGTTCAATCAATTAATTCGATAAAAATTGAGAAGTGAACGTCCCTACTAATCACTCATTTAGAATATAAATTATATTAACGTTTAAATCTTTCAAATCATTGATCCACCAACTTCAATTCTCGAATATATTAATATCTTATTTAAATAATTAAATATTTTTATTAATATATAAATCTTTTAAATTTTTAAATTTTTTTAAATTTATGAAATATAAACAAACTAATTCGAGTTAGGACTGGTAATGACCTCGCTCTTTTTACTATAAATATATGCTACCTTGGTTGAATATGTATATATATAATCAAAATAAACAAACGTTAGTAATTATTCATATTTAGATAGCTTAATATATGTATTTAATACTAATATATATAATCATATTTTTCTATTAATTATAACTAATAATTGAACTTATTATAACATATATATTTAATATTAAAGTCATGCTATCCTAATCCAAAGAAGACAATTATAGTATAACATAAAAAAAGGAAATTCGAATTAGAGTATATATTATAATCACTCAAAACTATTAAAAATATCAAATCTAATATGAAATCATTAGTTTACTTAATCTTCTATTTAATATAGTTTGACTCGATTAAAAAACCAATCACGATAACATGTTCCTCACTTCTATAACCAATATTTTGTGGTATACACAAACCGCATAAATTATTTAAAAAGAACCCTCATTTAATAATCCGCGATTACTATTGTTATTATTCTTAGAAGTAAATTATATGAATGATCATTTTTATTATAGTCATCAATTTAAAAAATGATTTTATCATTTATGATCAATCTGTTTATTTTATCATTGAATTATTAACTCTCGTTAGTTTAATGACATGGTATGTTAACAAAATATTTTTAAATTTGACCATTGAAATTTTAAAATTCATTTTTTATTCCATTCAAAAATATTGAAACCTTTTTTTCCTAAAAAAAATACTTTTCTTTTCTAACTCAAACTCTAATCCTAAGCTTGTTGCCGTCGTAACCTTCTGTCGTCGTCTGTGTTGTCTTTGGCAAAGAGAAACTCTAGAGAGGTTGGATGTTATCTTAACAACGACTTTAGCCATCAACTCGTCAAGGACACCAACAACCGCAATATACCTCACTCCTCTGGCAGCTCGACAAACAACTCCGATCACACCCCGATTGCCACATTTCTCATCGTTTGAACTCTAGAATCTGAAACCGGACATTTACACTCCCAATCGTTATTCTCATCCTCCCTTAAAGACTTCTTGACGTCAAGTGCTCGGCCCACCAGTGAAGCCAACACGACCATTGTACTACTCCACTCCTTAAGACTATAACTTCGATCACAATCGTTTGTCTTATCGACTCTGATGCCAATCCCCACTTATTTGCAAACTACGCTTTCCTTCTTTGCTTCTTACCATGGCACTCTTCGCGCTATCATTTTTCTCGAACCAAACTAAGAAAACCTAAAGTCGTTGTGCACCTTTCTTTCATTCCTATAACTATAACTTGCGATTTTTAATCCATTCACAATAAAATCCGAAAAGGAATTGTGGTTGTCAAGATATCTCCCATAAACACCACGATTAATAGTCAAATGCGACAACAATAACAAATTTAGGATTCAAATTATAGTTAGAAAAGATTAACTTTTTTGGGTGCGAAGAGATTAAAAAAAAGAATTTTTAAAAGCTCAAGATTTAAATATAAAATTTACTTATATTATTAACGTGAAATTAATTATTAGAAAAAGATAACTAATAATGTAGGTGACCAAATTATTACTTTTTAAACAGATAATCAAATTAAGACAAATATAAAATAAAGATGACCACATGTGTAGTTCACCCTTATTATTATAGCATATATTTTTTTTGGAAAGATTATAGCATAAAAAACAGATGTATAAGTACAGAAATAGAGAAATCCCTTCCTTCTTTAGTCTGTACTCTTATCACCAATCTCCTTACCTTCTTCTCTTCTCTGTTCATGGATCCTTACAAGGTACCGTTTAGAAAATACCATTATTCATTTATTAAGCTTCAGTTCTCACCCAAGTTTCAGTTTTGGGATGCTTTATATCTACCAAGTCTGAAAAAGTGTTTTTTCTTGATTGCTCATCTTTTTTTTTTTCTGTCTTTGATTGTTTTCGGTGAAAATTTTCAGAAGATATAGTTGTTTTCTCATCAAAGAGACAAAGATTGTTGTTTTCTCTTGCTCTAAAGAATGGATAAACTTTTAAATTCCTTCCCATTTTCCCTATATTTTCTTAGCTACCAAGCGGGGAGGTTGTATTTCTATTATCTATATCTAGCTATGTAGTTCAAATGTCTATTGTTAATGGTTTACATTTTTTTGTTACTTTATATGCTTGCACTATAATATATTTCATATGTTCAATTTCCTTTCTGGTTTTCAGTTTCTGGGTTTTGGTCGTTTACCTCTTATAATCTCTGCCAATAAAGTCAACTCCACTATCTTATAGAATCTTCAATTAGTTTGCTTGTGCCTATTTATTTTACTTCTTATTGGATCTATTTTTGGTTTGATGCAGTTTCGTCCTACAAGTGCCTCCGATTCCCCGTTCTGGTCTCAGGTAGGAATCTCATTCTTTTACCATAAACAATTTGGAAAGATAAAGCCTTTTAGTGTTTATTTGTCACCCTAGTTCTTTTCTGGCATGATGAGCATGCAGTTGTTTATCATACCAAGTAATCGTGCCCATTGTAATGCCAAGGAAGGAAACAATGTATATGATAAGTAGTAGTGCTTAATAATTTAATAGTCTTTCGTGACTTAAGGCTGACAAATCTTTGGGTCAAAAGCTTGCTTCTCGCCTCAATGCCAGACCAAGCATTTGATTAATGACTTCAATCAAATCCCAACATCAGATGGAGAAAAAAAATGCTTCCTTGTGTGCGTAGAGGAAGTCGTAAAGCATATCATCGTGCTGGTATACTAATTGTATCGTTCTGAATACTTGCATTCTGCAATGGAATAAGATCATAATGTAGCAATTCTATGACTAAAAACATCTGTGCAACTAGATGTGCTAATATTTTGTTGTATATGTAAATTTTGAAGTATTCAAATACTCTACACATGGCAAATTGCCTTGATCTAGTTTCTGTCATGTGCAATGACATTTTATGCCAATTAATCCAATCTGTTCGCACTGGAGCTTTGCTGTTATTGGGCCATGGCTCGCGTGCATGCTACTTTTCCTCGACAGCTAAAGCTTATATTTTAATAATTTTATGGGTTGTCAAGTGTTTCGGTTTTGAAAATAGAACAGTCTGCTAAAATCTTGAGAAGATTGTCAAAGGTTTGTAGACAACCATGAAAAAGGCTAACTTGAGGATTGAGGAAGACAGAATTTATAAACATGTTTCAAAGCTGCTTTCAGCAAAGATTTTCACAATGTAGAAATAAAATCCACCATAACTGCAACTGAAATGGGAAAAAGAAAGAAAGATCAATCACATGACAGTAGTTAAAGTAGTGATTATATGAAAAATCTGCATTCTGCACAGACTAACCATTTTCAGAGGAAGTTTATTATATTTCTATAAATATGGTTTTTATTTATTTATTTGAAACGGCTCGATGTGTGATAAGCACAAGAACTTTAATTATATTTAAAATTGAGTCGAGATCTTACTTGAAAGATATTAAACTCATCTTTCGATCATATATTATTTGTGTGGAAATGAAAGAAGAGGATGAATAGAAGAGTACTATTGTTAGCAATGGATAATGACCATGTCAATGATGCCCTATTTGTGGGTAGAAATTGGAAGCAGCGAATGGAACCCCACGTTAGAAGATAATCAGTTGCTAAAAGCCCCAGACAACGGCATAATAATAGTCTTCCGCCTTTGTTTTATTCTTTAATTAGCCTAGAACTGTTAAAAATCCTCCGCTCAACAAAACTTAACACAGCAGTAAGAAGAGAAACAAGAAAACATAAACAATCATTGGACAACGTTAATCTATCAGGCTTTCGCCTGCCCTCTCGTTATACCTTTCTTACTTTTTTTTTGTTGCAAAACAGGTTGCATTTGCACTTGAAGAACAACGGGTTCGTTTCCCTTTTGTTGTTTTCGACCAGGAAACTTAGATCTCACTCTCCACACAGAATCTTGCCTTCATTAGTCTTTTGTCAGGTACCTTTGCTTTTTCTCCTCTTTCTTCTCGTTGGCTGCCTGCGATTTGTTTCTCACTTTGAGCAAACTCCTACATTGATACACTGAATATTTTTTTTTGAAGATATATTTCTTTCTGGTGTGTTTGATTGTTGAATATGATTTTGTAGTGAAATAGTATTCCAATAATGATGGAGAGGGCAGAGTCATGCCAAAAGCTATATACAAGACTGCGGTTATGGGAGTTCCCTGATGAGTATGTGATTGAACCCACCGATGGTTCTTCTGCTTCCTCTTTGTCAATTAATCGTGTGGATGCCTCAATCAAGCTCGTTGGTGGGTTTTATTTTATTTTATTTTTTATCTTGCTATGCTTCTGCCTCTCTTTTCAATTTTGGTTGGTAGAATACTAGATGTTTTACTGGACGTCTTTGTTCGTTCTATAGATGCTATTCCAGAATGCAGCGCTGTTCGTGTTCCTAAGATTCAGGCGATCTTTGGAGTAGTTGGAATGCTAAAGCTTGTTGCTGGTATGATAGGCTCCTATGAAATTTCTGATTTTTTTATTATCCTCTATTCATTTGGTTAATTCATAATGGAAAATTAGCAAGGGACCCAATTGGACGGTGAAAATGTAGTGCCTGATTAGATCAGTAGGGCATATGAATATGTAAGATCCAATGAGACGACGATTGGTTTTCTTTTTTACTTTTGTATTTGATTATATTCTCAGAATTGAGGCCTGTGGTTTCTCCAATCATTTTGATGTGTTAAATTTTATGTGTTTAGGATCATATTTAATTGTTATAACGGAGCATGAATGTGTTGGATCTTACTTGGGGCATCCCATCTTCAAAGTCGTATCCATGAGGATTCTCCCGTGTGATCATTCACTTAAAAACTCTTCTCCAGAACAGGTACAGACTGTTTCCTCACTTCTTCTAGCAAGTGTGATTGAATTGGTTGATTAACACAAGAATCTTTTGAACCATTTTGGCAGAAAAAGGTGGAGAGTGAATTTTCTGGGCTGCTAAAAGTTGCAGAGAGGACTGTTGGCCTCTTTTTCTCTTATGATACCAACTTAACGTTGAGGTGAACTACTTTCTCAAATTAGGCCTTGCATATGCACGCTTAGAACAAATTTCTTTCTCAACAGTCACACATCAAGCAACAAAAGTTCTTGATGTGCACACCATCATCTTTCTGAGTGACATCTTCGTAGCAAAACTTCCAACCAGAGTAGTTTACAATTACATGAAGTGTCTGCAGTACAAAAATCAGCCTTATGTAAGCACGTGCAAGCTGCTAAGTATAAGTTTATATGTGGTGGTCCTAGGAGGGGTAAAGTGCAATTCCCTTTAGACACACTGGCAAATGAATTGACTTTATATATGCCTATGTTCTGTAGTTTGAGATGACACATAGGGAACATCTTTGTGAGAACATAGCTTGTTGTGAGGCAAAACAGGAAACTCTCCCTTTAACGTGTTCAAGTTAACTATCATCCACTAAGTTGTTCTAGTGTAATCATCAAGATTTTAATTTGTTAATGAAGGCCAATAGTATGTCATCAAACAGCTTTCAAACTTCCAATATATATCAATAGGCTAGGTACTTTTGGAATTATTAGCAATTATGTATTATTTTTCATTTTTCCAGTCATTATATTTTCTTTAAATATTTATATTTATGGTGAAAGTAACCATTGTAAGATTTGGTACACAACAGTGCTCAGCGATTAAATGATCTGGGAGATGAATCTAAATTGCTTCCTCTTTGGAGACAGGTAAATTGCTCTTTGTTTTTTAAGTACCTAGTACATTGATTACTCTGTTTTTTATTTTACGAGATTATTAGATGATCTGTCACTAGCTTCAAACAGTTGCTTTTATGGTAGTTTTGTAAGTGCAGTGTTCAATATTCATCATGTGATTCTTCGTTTCTATTAAGTTACTGAGAGGCTTTTCCTTATGTTATCAAATGTTTGCCACAGGCAGAACCCAGATTTCTTTGGAACAATTATATGTTGGAAGTACTTATAGACCACAAGGTGAGCCTTTTCCTTTAGTAGCAGTGTAGTTTCATGCCCCACATTTCCATCATTTGCATTTGAACCAGCTAACTCCTTTTGGGTTCTGTGGCTGCAGCTTGATCCGTTTTTGCTTCCTGTTGTTCAAGGGAGTATCCTTGAAGAAACTATTAATTTTAGCAATTTTTGGCATGAAAAGTTCTTATTCCTTCTTAACTGATTCATTACTAGTGTTGGCTTATATTTCTTTCTATATGAAGCTTCCCCTTAACTGCTAATTAGGTTTTCAAAACTTCCAAGCAGCCATTGGAAAAGAAATTGTTGATGTTACATTGATTGCTAGGAGATGTACCCGAAGAAATGGTAGCCAAAGCTAGAAATGCCTCTCAATCTTTTTAGCTTGGCTTTATCTTGCCTACAATTTTTTTTTCTTTCAAATTTGTCTTGCTGAAGGGAAGGGTTTGAATTATTGAATGCTGCAAAAGTAATGAAAATCTGGTAGACTAGTACTATTATAGATTCTCTTTTCTAATATGAACAAATTCATTCCTTTTGCAAGTTCCATTCATACTTGTACTGGACAACTTTCATTATCTGTACAAAATATTACCTGGCAGGATTGCCTCATCCATTTTGAGCTTGGGGCGGATAGGAAATGGATTTTCCAAATGGATATAAAATAATGTTTAAACACTGCAACATTTTCTTACTTTCAAGTTTTTTAGGCCTTATGTAGGCAACTTAATCTCATTGATTATGTATTGTTTGAAAGGAACTCGAATGTGGAGAAGGGGAGCTGATCCTGATGGGTACGTTGCAAATTTTGTGGAAACAGAACAAATTGTGCAGATGAATGGTTTTATTGCTTCATTTGTTCAGGTAACAAGCACTACTTGTTTAATCTCCATAAAATCAATATGCTACAAAATTTGGCATCTTTTTCAGTCCTTATATTCTTTAGAGAAGTACCAAGCACAAACGTTCCCCCCCCCCCCGCCCTCCTGAAAAGTAGATATTTATTATTAAATAAAGGCTTATAAACCAAAAGTAATCAGACAGATCAAAACGAAGTTACAAGCATTAAGAACCTCTTCCAAGTGCAATCAGCAGTGGCTGACTCTACCCAATGGTCCCAATCCTGCCTTTGCCAATTTTTCAGTGTCCAAGTTATGGGGGCCATATTTTTATTTTCATGTTCTACGAGTTGTTGGATCAGACTGTTATAAACCCCTTCCCTTGTTTTGCCTCTTACAGGTTCGGGGGTCAATGCCGTTTCTTTGGGAACAAATTGTTGATTTGACTTATAAGCCTAAGTTTGAGATTGTAAAACCTGAAGAAGCTGTAAGTATGTTCATTTATTGCAACTATTTTATTGCACGCATGAATTTCTTCTACCTTCACTGACTTTTCTGGTATTATGAAATTATGTAGCCCCGAGTGGCTGAGAGGCATTTTCTGGATCTAAGGAAAAAATATGGAGCTGTACTAGCCATTGATCTTGTCAACACGGTGAGCATTGGATGACTATTGGTTTGCAGTATGCGTTGTAATTTATTATATCGAATGTACTCAAATCCTCTTATGAAATACATAGAGAACACATTTTGACGATATACTTTGTCCTTGCAAAAAGTGAGTTTTCATTTGGGCAAGCATGCATTCATTCATTATTTCAAATGTTTGATCATGTGTCACTGTATCTCTTACCAGACTGGAGATGAGGGGCGCTTAAGTGCAAAGTTTGCAAGTTCAGTGGAACCTATACAAAGTGATGATTTAAGGTACAGTTTCCGTTTATCTAAATCTTTCTTTCTTTTTCCTTTGTTTTTCTTATCTTTTATGCAATAACCCGTGATCTTGCAGATATATTCACTTTGATTTCCATAAGATCTGCGGACATGTTCATTTTGAGCGGCTTTCCTTCCTCTATGATCAAATTGCAGATTTTCTTGATAAAAATGGGTATGTTTTGATAATTGAACTTATCTGCAATGTACAATTTGATAACTGTTCCTACTGCACTGTTTATTTGATTGATTTTGCAAGGAAAGGTTTTAGAATATTGTTCTCTTAGTAGAAGTTTATAGCAATGAAATATACGGATTGATGTTGGGTTCTCTTTGTCCAAAACTGATAGGTACCTCTTGTTGAATGACAAAGGTGAGAAAATGAAGGAGCAACTTGGAGTTGTAAGGACCAATTGCATTGATTGCTTAGACCGCACCAATGTTACACAGGTGCGTTTTAAATTAGATATATCTAATCCTGGCTTTGTTGAAGGAGGCACAACATGTTTGCCAAGGCATTTTCTTTTTGGATAGCAAACTTATGCTTAGTGCTTACCCACTGTGACAATTTCAACTCCAGCCTGAACCCCTAAAGATACCTTCATTTTCTGATGCTGCTCCTTCTGAATGGTTGTTACTTATAAAGAGTAATACAAGATATTTTATGGGAGGTGTATTAAGTACTACAATGAATTCCAACTATCACTATAAAGTATTCATAGATGGATGTTTCTGACCTTTGAAAGTGCTTCCTGTAACTAAACCAACAACTCTTGAAGTTTTGAATTTGATGTATGGGACTATCTCTTAGCATATACGTTGCTTTTGTTGTTTTAAGTTGCAATGCAGATCTCTCTCTCAGAGACATATACACATACTCAAGGAGAGGTGCATGTAGTTACCAGTTATTCTTGTTTGCCATACGTCTAGTGTTCTTCACTTCCATAACTGTGCTAACCAATGTTTGCAGAGCATGATAGGTAGGAAAATGATGGAACTTCAGCTTAGGAGAATTGGTGTTTTTGCTGCTGAAGAAACTATTAGCTCACATCCAAATCTAGATGAAAAGTATAAAATATGTAAGTATTTCCATTTTTTCTTGATCTAGTAATTTTCTTTCACAGGATGTTCCTTCTTAACTTTTATTACTTTTGATTATATATCAATTAGCTTATTTATTTTTGGATAAACTGATAAACGTATAAAATTGATTTACTACCATGCGAACTAAAAAACTTAATTTTCAATGTTTGCACATGTTCAGTGTGGGCTAATCATGGGGATGATGTAAGCATACAATATTCTGGCACTCCTGCACTGAAAGGAGATTTTGTCAGGTACATTTGCATCCTGATTTTACAGATTGAGAGTTAATCTTTATATCTGGAGAATGCTAGTCTCAAGCTAAGTTGGTGCATCCTTGAGAACACTGTCATTAATATTAAATTTGGACCGACACTAATGCTATGCTCTATGAAGTTTTTCTTTTAACTGAAAAGATTCTACAAGCATAGTTATTGTGCCTTACTAGTTCTCCTTGGAATACTTCCAGTGTTGTTTCAAGAAATCATGGCATCTATGTTTTGAATTTAAAATAACACTTGAATTCTTAGGCTTTGCTTGGTATGAAGGATGGAAATGAGGAAGGATAGAAAATTCGTTAATCAAATGGTTAAGATTCAAAGTAAGAAAGTGGTTTTGAATCTTAACCATTTAAAAATTAGTTGACCCTATTCCCATATGTAATGGGGTAAGGGGGAGGTAGGGTAGTAGGCTAACACCTAACGCCAGGTTGAGAACAGCTTCCGTGGAAGACCTCCATTATGAATTGCCCTCAATGGGACTCGATCCCACGACCACAAGGTTAAGAGCCTTGCGCTCTACCAACTGAGCTAGACGGGCAATTCTAAAATCTTAACCATTTGATTAACAAATTTTCCATCCTTCATACCAAGCAAAGCCTACGTAATTTGATCTAATTCTAAAGCATATTAAGAACATTTAAAGGCATTTGACCTTCGAATCAAAATGAAATCCATAAATGATATTCGATTAGCCTTTGGGAACTTCGGATATGACCAGTTATCATTTTGTGTGCATCTCTGAAAATATGACTATTCTATTTATGTTCCCATTTGGAATTGATCAATGGTGTTTGACCTGTTCGTTTCATGTGAGCTGTAGGTTTGGTAAGCGAACAGTTCAAGGGATCCTTAATGATTTTTATAATGCCCTCGGTCGGTATTATTTGAATAACTTTGCTGATGGAACAAAACAGGTACGTATACTTGTTTCTTTAAGTAATACTTGCAATAACTAGAAAATAAGTTAATAACATTTCAAACTATTTTCACTGACCGTCACCATTTATAGCTGTCTGTAAATGTATGGGGTGGGATAAGGGTAGGTAACCCTATCTTTTAGTTAATCTCTTTCCCTAATTCTAATGATAGAAAACTTTAATATGCATAAACGTCCATCAGTCGATACTACTATTTCACATCGAACTTTTGTTTCAGCATTCTTATTGTTAAATAGATGTCGTTATTTTATGAACAACCATCCATGCTTTGATTTATCAAATCATATATTTACTGTTAAAATAGGATTAATATATCGAGCAGCTCTTTAAACAATTGATGTCCTGCTCTCTCTCCTTTTTTTTTTGTTTCGGAAAAAAATGTTATTTTACCCCATTTATAAAGGGATCATTTCTGTGATGGTATTCAATATAGAAGCTGACTTCCTCTGATTTATATGTTAATGTCATGTGCATTAAGGATGCGATTGATCTCTGCAAGGACATTACATTGTTTCTGTCAGCCGGGATATAACACCACCGTCACAAAAAGGGGGACTTGAATCTATGGCTGTAAGTATAGATGGAACAAAAACATGACTTTCAAGATTTCATTGCTTTATTGTGATGTTTGTGAAGCTTTGTACTGTGTGATATTTGCTTAATTTTTGAAGCAATTGCTATCTTGTTTTTGTGGATTATACAAGAAGCAAATGTAAGGTAGCAGTCCTCAACAGGAACTTACAGTTCATTGTCCATGGACTTGTCCTCGTCCAATGCAATTTTCACTGCAGGTTTGAGGCCTGCAGAGAGAGAAACCTTCATCTGAAATTTTTGAAATTTATATTTTTACTGAAAAATGATCAGGCAACTATATTAAGTTGTTGAGATTATGGCTTTACTAGGCATAGTTAAACACATCATTTAATGCATATTCGAAAGTATTTTTGCAAGAATATTTCAGTTAATCTTTACAACCCTAGTAGAATGTAAAAAGCTTTCCATCTTTTTGTTCCACCTATATACTATTCCATAGTATCTCATTCTGATCTATTATGTTATTTCTGTGGCACAAGCCAGAAGGTGAATGTATTACTTTCCCATCATCATGTGCCATTCCATGTTTTTAGTTGCTGGTGCCAAGATTGAATACAGATGCATATATGTATATATATGCTTTCGTATGTAACCTTATATTACTCGTTTCGTATCCATGTTGAATACTTTTAGCCGTCTTAGTAGCTCTGTTAAGTTCTCACATTTTTTTTCTTTCTTTCTGCAGAACTTCCCAGCAGCTTTATGTGTGGTCTCACTAGGGTTATTTCTCACAATCTTGTCACTTGGGCAAGGTTAGTTGACTTCTGCTTAATCTAACAATGAAGTATAGCTTCATTAGCACAAAAGGGATATTGACATAATCTTTGTTTTCGCCATCTGCAGCTCGATATGATCTCCGGTACTTATTTTTCTCGGCTTTGTGGGCTACCATAAGCCTCGGTGTTGCAGCAGTTGTGAAGGCTAATGGCAGGATTTTCTGCAATCGCCCTCGTTTGCATAAACCACGCCATTGATGCATATGCTGAATGCTATGGGAAATAAAACTTGTTCAAAAGCTGTTCATCTTGCTCGGATCATAGTTATTCTTTTTCACATATTTTTTTGGTAGTCCATTTAGTTTTAATTTAAACGATTGCTTTACCTCAATCATTTTGTTATTCTGCCAACACTTTTTATTCTCATTAACATTAAACTAAAAAGTTTTTTTTTTTTGGCTCATTTGTTCCTTGTGAATGTTTACCTCCTGCCTTGTTTGATAGTAGCAACAATCCCATTTTTCACAACTTTGTTTAATTGGACTTATGAATCATACTAAGAATTTCTCATATACTTTATTTTGATCACTTTAGTCCTTATACTTTTTAGATTTTAAAATTTCAATCTTAACCTAGATAGTAGTTGTAGAATATGTTAAATTAAATCCTACCATTAGTTTATCAACAGTCCGTTAGTGTATTGAGATGAACATTAGATTTCTTGAGAAAGGTCGGGGATTCGAATCTTGATATTTGTAAGTGGAACAAATTTAGTTGGGAGGGTTGCTCTTGCTTCTATCGTATTCGGTCTAAATTAATAAATTAATAAATTAGATATCGATGATTATATTATCTATGTATTATTTAAGACAAAAATTTAAGTTTTAAAAAGTAAAATAAATAAAGTTGACCATATTAAAATAAAAATATTAAATCTTGACTTATGCAGACTACATATTCTAACTACAAAACTTAATCTAAATAATTCTTTTCTCATTTAGATGTTTAAAATTTTTTCTGTCGATCAAGGTGTCTAACGTTACAAATATTATCACTTTAGATGTCTCGACCATAACGGTCGTTAAAATATTTTGTTAAGTGACACGTGTTGCATTTATATAATTTTAAAAAATTATTTAAAATAAAATTATATATATATATATTAAAAGTCCAAAATTTTCAAAAAACTAAAAAAAACCCAAAACTTTGAAAATCTTTATTTCAATTTCTAAATCCACGTCGGTCACTGGCCTTTGTCGGCTTGTCGCCACTGAACCTCCACCCTACCGCACCTCCACCAGACGACCAATTAGCCGACGAAAAGCCACGAGAACAGGAGTCAATGAACAAGAAATAGAGTCGATAAATCATGTGACCCCGACGAAGAACAAAATTACAATAGCAACATCACGTGATCCCGACGACCAATCAACTAAAAGGATGAAGACGTCTAACTAGGAAGATGTCGGCGGCGGTGGTTGTGGCTGAAAAGGGAGGCGAGGTTAGGGTTAGGGTTAGAGATTTGAGATTTTTAGGGGTTTGAGGTTTTTTGTAATTCAAGAAAAAATATGGGTTTTTAATATAATAATATTTTAAGTTTTTTAAAATAAAAATTTCAAAATTACATGGATGTGATATGTGTCACTTAACGGATTTTTTTTAACTGTCAAGACACCTAAAATTTAAAGTGATAATGTTTGTAGCATTAGACACATAAATTGACAAAAAAAAAATAGACACCAAAATCAAAATATATATAATTTGTATATTAAGCCTAAATATAATACTTTGGCAAGTACCCATTCGACCAAATTGAAAATACGTTTATCAAACTATATTTTTATACTCGTAAATACAAACGCAAATTAGTTAAAAAAAATTAAAAATTTGGCTAAATCTACAAATAATATGTTTATAGTAAATTTTATATAGCAATAACTTGAATCAAATAATACATATTTTGAATAATTTGAGTATTAAAATTATATTTTAAATATTTTTATTGAAATTTAATTTAACCATCAATATCTAATTTGTTAATTAATTATTCTAAACCACATCTTGTAAAGGCCGGTAATAGGGCAACCCTTCCAACCCTATTTGCTCCATTTGCAAACACCAATATTCAAATTACATATACAAGTCTTCGAACTCAAGATCTGCCTAAGCAATATCAATCTACTTACCCTTTGAACCAACCCGTTAGTTAAAATATTATCTTCTATCTAATAAAGATAAATTATTATCAGATGCTCATAAAGTATTTAATGAACCAAATGTCTGCTAAGATGAATGTAATACACAACTCGTCTTTTGATATAATACACGAACATAAATTCTTTACCTTTCCTTTCGCCTACAAACAAGATCAAACCACGTGGATCATCTTTTACTTATAAGGATAAAAAATTAATATGAAAATCAATCCAGCAAATTTGAGATGCATGGGAAATTAAACTACGTGCAACACAACTCAACAATCTCTCCCTTCTATTCTACATTTACAACGACAACAAAAAAGAATCTCTTTCCAGTCATATCTATGCAGAAATCTCCAAAAGAATAGTAGTTGATCATTGGATCATCTTAATCATATAATATAACCGAGAAGAAGAAAAAAAAATCACCACTCTTCCAGAACAGTAACACAATGTAGGGTTGATTACTTATCTTTTCCCCCGGATTGATCCAGCGGAACGATGACTGCTACCTTGTTGTCCATACCTAGGAGTAGTGCAGGACTGAATGGAGCCGGATCTAGACGTGTCCTTTGGCCTTTCCTTATTGAGTGATTCGATCCGTTCCAATGCCTCGACTACTTCTTTCATGGACGGACGGTTTTTAGGATCGTGCTCTAGACATTTCAGGGTGAGCTCGGCTGTTAGCGATGCGGCCTTGGACGAATACTGACCCTCGATCCGCGCATCCATTATGGTTTTGTGCTTTCTTTTGTGTGATAGTACTGGTTTAAGCCAATCCACCAGATTTCGCTGTTCTTCCGGGCGCTTTGTATCCAATGCTCTCAACCCTGTCATCACCTCGAGCAACAACACACCGAATCCGTACACGTCGCTCTTCACGTATAAATGTCCTGTTGGAATAAAATTGGAACTTTAACATTAGCCTGGTTTAAGCAGTTGTTGAACAAGAGAACGAAATGACGTATCGCATTGAGTATTGATGTTACCGGTTGCGATGTATTCAGGTGCAGCATAGCCATATGTTCCCATAACCCTGGTCGTTACGTGCGAGTCTCCCCCCGAAGGCCCCAATTTGGCCAAGCCAAAATCTGATATTTTTGCATTGAAGTTCTGTAGTTGTAAACAAGAACCAAAATATGAATTTCAACTCTTATCAGTCCACATTTTGAAAAGCTTCATACTATACATATCCATTGAAATCCAAAGGAATGAGGCAAACAAGGACTAACCCCATCAAGCAAAATATTAGAGGCCTTGAAATCCCTATAAATGACCTTCTCCGAAAAGTGTAAAAATGCTAGACCTCGAGCGGCTCCGATGACGATTTTAAGCCTGGTTTCCCATGACATAGGTTCAACTGCTGGATTTCCTGCATAAACCAAATAATAAAGCAATCAACATGGCATTTGTCCATGGAGATGGAACTTCCTTTTTTTCTTATTTATATTCTGAGTCTCGAGCTTACGTCGAAATAGATGGTTCTCCAAACTTCCTTTCTGCATGAACTCATACACAAGGAGCAGCTCTGTATCTTCCCAACAGTACCCCAACAGCTTAACCAAACTGGGATGAGATAACCTTCCTAGAAAGTTCACCTCTGACTGCAAAAACAATGACAAAGAAGAATCAAATATCATTAGCTGGCTCTGGTAGAGACAGCCTTGATAAAAAACACGACAATTTCAGAGGCGTTAAAATAAGGGAAATGGCCTAATCATACAGCTAGAAAAGAAAGCGATGGCATTGAAACATAGATGCCATCATACGGCATCCATCAGTACTGGACATTTATAGTCAATGAATGATATGACCCTATGGAAATCAATATAGTCCTGCCACATTTGGGGTCAACGGTTTGAAAACCATCAAACGATCGCAGATGCACATATTTTCTTTGGTGGGGTCAAGGATTAAAGGCTCAATAAAGCTAAAAAGCATCTTGCTTTCTTCTTCTTTTCCCAGTCTAATAATTCTCGGAACAAAGTTTTGCAAGATAATAATGCATAAACAAAGATGAAACTGATGATTAACACAGCACAGTAGATAAAAATTATGGTTTACCTGCCACTCCTGGAAACCTTGAACACTTTCTTGCTTCAATTTCTTGATAGCAACGATCATTCCAGAGCCAGCCTTGGAGGGTGTTAAAGTTTTCTCGTCCAACCAGCCTTTGTACACTTTGCCGAAACCCCCTTCACCCAACAGTGTATTAAAGTTCTTAGTTGCGGTTTTCATCTCTGCAAAGTTAAAGACTTTCAAGTTCGGTGTTTCCAGGATCCGCCCGTCGGGATTTTCCTCCTCCACGATTTCACTTACAGTTTGTGAAAATTGACTTCTGCAATTGCTAACGCTGCTGGTGGCCGAAGATTCCATGTTGTTGCTGCAACTATTCGATGTCCCTGTTAACACAGAAACAAAACCGTTGACTAAATTACCAGTCTCTTTTTTTTTCTTTTTTCTTTTTTTCTGTATCCATGAGAGGAGAAAAGAATACAAAAACAAAAAACTGGTTACATAAACACAAATATTACAAACCTGGGTAGTAGGGATATTGGTGGAGCTGTAAACATGGCTTGTTTCTCGACCAAAAGAGGCAGATCCCCAGCAATTACCCATACCGATATGCACAACAACAATAACTCTACCAAGTCTCTCTTACCAATAGCCTTTTCAGGGGAACAAGAACAGCATTCCCAGCAGTACAAGCTCGGAACTTGTCAAATTTGCAAGCAAAAACGCATGCTGATGTTCATATAAGAAAGCAAAGAACAGTGGAACAGATGAGGTTCCAAGCTTCTTTTGTGTGTGTTTTGTTTTATGCTTTTGGGATGGCCCCTTTCTTTTCCCTGCTGTTGCAAGGAATCAACTTTCTTGCTTCTCCGGCCAGAAAAATTATATCTTCTTCTTCTTCTTTTCCGAAGCTCTATAGCTTGTTGAATATATAAAGAATGCATAGGAAAAAATGTGTATAAAATTTAGGCGCTGTTGTTACGATTGTCGTTTTGCTAAAAGACTATGCTTCACCGAACATCAAGGGAATATGAGGAGTGCATTTGCAATGCGTAGGTGAGCATGGCGCGTCATAACTAACCGTGTAGCATTAGAGAATTATAGCCAAAACTTTGACTTTAATTTTGCGAATTTGCAGTCACAGTGCCTTACGTCTGCAATTATTTTGCTTTATCATTCA